CCTGGGAGATCTTTCCATATTCTGGTATCTTCTTTAACCTCTTTCTTTAAAGACTCAAAGTTCTTGTTATACAGGTCTTTCACTTGTTTGGTTAGCATTACCCCAAGATATTTTATGTTGTTTGTGGCAATTGCAAAGGGTGATGTTTCTCTGATTTCTTTCTCAGCCCATTTATCGTCTGTACATAGTACTGCTATTTTTTTTTGAGTGAATCTTGTATCCTGCCACTTTGTTGAAAGTGTTTCTCAGCTGTAGGAGTTCCCTGGTAGAACGTTTCAGGTCACTTATGTAAACTATCATATCATCAGCAAATACCGAATGGAAAAAGATCTTCACCAGCCCCACATCTGACAGAGGGCTGATGTACAAAATATACAAAGATCTCAAGAAGCTAGTCACCAAAACACCAAACAATCCAATTAAAAAGTGAAGCAAAGAACTGAATAAAGAAATCTCAATAGAGGAACCCAAAATGGCTGAAAGACACTTAAGAAAGTGCTCAACATCCTGGGAATTGCAAATCAAAACAACTCTGAGATACCATATTGTACCTGTCAGAATAGCTAAAGTCAAAAACACCAATGACAGTTTATGCTGGAGAGAATGTGGAGAAAGGGGAACACTCCTTCACTGCTGGTGGGAGTGCAAACTCATACAGCCACTTTGGAAATAGGTATGGTGGTTCCTCAGAAAAATTGGAATCAGTCTACCACAAGATCCAGCAATTCCACTCTTAGGCATATACCCAAAAGATGCACTTTCATACAACAAGGACATATGTTCAACCATGTTCATAGCAGCATTATTTGTAGTAGCCAGAACCTGGAAGCAACTTAGATGTCCCTCAACTGAAGAACGGACAGAGAAAATGTGGTACATTTACACAATGGAGTACTACTCAGTGCGGAAAAAAATGGAATCTTGAAATTTGCAGGCAAATGGATGGAACTAGAAGAAACCATCCTGAGTGAGATAACCCAGTCACAAAAAGACAAACATGGTATGTACTCACTCATATATGGATTTTAGACATAGAGCAAAGTATTACCAGCCTACAATCCACACCTCCAGAGAAGCTAGGAAACAAGGAGGACCCTCAGAGAGACATACATGGTCCCTCGGAGAAGGGGAAATGGACAAGATCTCCTGAGCAAATTGGGAGCATAGGGGAGGGGAGAGAGAGTTGGGAGAAAGAGAAGGGAAGAAGAGGAGGGGAAAGGAGAACATGAGGGAGCAGGAAGATCGAGTCAGGGGAAGAATAGAGGTGAGCACATTAATAGAGGGAGTCGTTGTAGGATTAAAGAGACATCTGGCACTAGGGAAATGTCCAGAGATCTACAAAGATGAACCCAACTAAAATTCTAAGCAATAGTGAAGAGGCTATCCTAAATGCCCTATCCCTGTAATGAGATTTATTACTACCTTATATGCCATCCTAGAGCCTTCATCCAGTAGTTGATGGAAGCATAAGTAGAAACCCACAGTTAAGGACTGAGCCAAATGTCTGGAATCCATTTATAGAGAGGGAGGAGTGATGAACAAAGGGGATAATATCAGGCTGGGAAAACCTAAAGAAACAGCTGACCTGAACAAGGGGGAACTCATGGACTCCAGACTTACTCGGAAACAAGCCTAGGACCGAATACCAATACCTAGGACGAATAGGTCCCCTGCTCGTGGATGTCATTTAGAAGATCTGGGCAGTGAAAGGAATTACTGATGAAGTTTAGCATGGTTGGGCAAGAACAGTGAAGAAAATATATGTGGCTGAAAAGGTGCATAATTTAGCATAATTCAGATACTATATATGTATTGAACAGCAGTTATATCTGTCAGGAATTTAAAAAATGATACAGGCCCTCTTCCTGGGTCTCAAACTTTTGGGATCTAGCTGAGGGAGCTGAACTTCTATATAAAATGAGAACTGACAACTCTGAATTAGACTCTCCATGAGTCAAGGATGCTGGGAAAGATAGCCAAGGAGCCAGGAAAAGAGAAATTACAGAGGGCTGCAACAAGAAATAAGGATTGGCTAGTGGCTGGAGAAAGCCTGGGCATTGCAGATGGAGAGACAGAGACAGAGACAGAGAAGCAGACATACACACAGAGACAGAGACAGACAGACAGACAGACAGACAGACAGACAGACAGACAGACAGACAGACAGACAGACAGACAGAGTCAACTGGTCGGAATAGAAGGAAAAACAGGAAAGCAGGAGGTTTTGCTTTAGAAAGGCACTACTACAGCAGGATGTTCCCACCAAACAAATATATGTTTCGGGGGTGGGGTGAGGTAAATATTTGTATCAGTGTTTTGTTAAAACCTGTTTTTTACAATGCCTGTTCTACTTCCCTAAGATGCAAGAGGGATCATTTACTCTGTCAAAGCTCTATGACCTTATCCTCAACCGGTTCCTCTGCCTCCTCTACACTTCAGCAATCTTTAGCCACAGATGCATTTCTTTTTAAAATAAACCTCCTTTCAGCCAGGCATGGTGAGGTGTGCCTGCAATCCAAGCCAATTAGAACCAGAGGCAGGATTGCTGGAGCCTGGGAGTTCAGAGCCAGTGTCCTCAACAGTGTGAACATTCCCTTTTTCTAGCACCTGAAGTTCGAGGCCAGCTTAGGCAGCAGTGTGAGCATTACTCTTCTTCTCAGAAAAAGTAGGAAATTGGGAAGGGGGGAATGGGTGGATACTGGAGGAGAAGGAAGGGAAAGGAACAGGGTAGAAAAGGACCTCTCCGGCAGGATTCCTAAAGATATACTCAATTTAACTTCTTAGGTAAACATGCAGTTTTTAGGAACCCACAAATTCCAGTGGCCCCCTTCCCACTCCCACAGGACCCCACATATAGCCACTGTAGGTATAGAGTGTGTAAAGACCATAAATTAAAACGTTTGCTTGGGGGGGGAGGGGAAGCAATTTGTCAGCATTTTTGCATTGGGACAGGAAGGCTGGCCTTGTGTTCTAGACACAACTGTTTGTTTTCATTAAGGTAGAGGTCTTCAGGGTTCAGAAGCCTTTTAGACCATAGCAAACTAGTGTTCCATTTCTGGCTGAAAAACAAGAGCAGGGTTCTGTCAAATTCTGAAGTAACATCACAACAGTAGAGGCACCATCAGTGATTACAAATGACAGTTCACCGGTTAAATTTTAGCAGGTTGTATGTGTAGGTGCAAGTGCTCACACTCATGGACTGGTGTGCATGTGCCAGCCACCCATAGGCCACCTAGATTTGAAAATAAGAATGTGAGGACATTGTAGGTGCCCTTATCCAGAACATTTGCTGGTGATTTTAAAAGCTGTGACATCAAAAGACTTTTACATGGAAACCGGTGACTCTTAGTGTTTGAAATCCTTGAAGTAGGAGATGACCAACCAAGCAACATGGATGATGCTGATCCATTTTAACACAGCTGAATTGCTACCACTAGGAGTTCCTAATCAATTTATTTAATTTTTATTTAGAAGTTTCTAATCTAGTTTTAACTTTTATCTTATTCATTACTCACTTCTGGGTTGGGGCCATTCTATTCTGAATTTGTATCTAAGTCCTACATACACTTTTAATGGAATGAGTTACAACACATCTTATCAACCTCAGTGGAACTAGAAGTCAACTTATAACAATGTGGAAAGCCTCATCTCCACTATCAAACAAGTTAATGAGAATATGAGTTCCTAATCAAACTCATAGTTTTGTTGACTTGTTTTCCTTACTAGGGATCTTAGAAGTGTGCAAGTGTTCGCACTTCTGTGGGACAAAATGTGTTATTATGGAATAAATCTTATTACAATTCTTCATGGGTGATAGGATATGTTCACTATCACCTGAGTGGCCTTTCTTGTACATTATTCAATTTGGCCTTAAAAGATTTTGAGAATATCCTCCAGGTATGGATCTTATAAATGATTTTATGGCAGTGCCACAGCTCCTCACAATTATTTATGATATATAACATAACTGATTTAATGTCTTTCTGTGAACTATAATTCAAGCAAAGACTGTTTAGGACAAGGGCAAAGGCACATTGTCCAAGTGCTGTGATAATTGCACCATGTCTCACCCCATCCCATCTCGAAGAGAAAGGTGCTAGCTCTCAGGACCAATTGCCCAACATTCCTCAAGTCAACACCATGCTTCACACATTTTTCTCCACCTAGAAATAGGTGGCAACTGTTATATTTTAGTGAGAACAAAACATCTGTGATCTGTCAGCTTCACAGCCCCCATCCGGGCCCCCAGAGTCTTCTCATATCTCACCCAAGGATAATCCAGGAATGATGTTCCTAGACTGATTCGGTTTCTAAAATAAAAACGAACTCTAGGGAGGGGGAGCAAACATTCACTAAGAATGCTACCTAAAGACAAAAGACAGTTTAACCTCCCATGAGCAGGCTCCAGAAACTCGGGGAGATGTAGCAACAACAAAAAAAATCTGAGTTTGAGCCACATTGTAATGTGTTCTGGAACAATTCTTTTCTATACTATGAATATATATTACTCTCGTTGGATAATAAAAAGCTGACAGACCTGGGCAGGAAGTTAGGTGGAAAAGCCAAACTGAGAATGACAGGAAGACAGGCAGAGTCAGGAGAGACACCAGCACATCTTCTGAGCAAGCAGGATGTGTAAAAAACGAGGTAACAAGCCATGAGCCACATGGCAGAGCACAAATAGAAATATGGGTTAATTTAAATTTAAGAGTTAGCTAGTAACAAGCCTGAGCTATCGGCTAAGCATTTGTAATTAATAACAGCCTCTGAGTGATTATTTGGGACCAGGCAGTCGGGACAGGAAATGTCTATTTACAGCGATGCTTCATTTTCTATACTGGGCCTAAGAAACTTCTTACTTTCCTCCTTCCCTCTCTTTCTGTTTCTCAAGGAGATTAGCATTTAGATGAGTAAGCAGATGGTCCTCACCAGCTACCATTGTCATCCTCATATCTGATGAACATCCTACAGGACAAAAAAGTGGAAGGCAGGTGACTCAC